AGCGGGAAGGTCATGCCTTTCGCAGCTACTCAACCACTATGACAAAATCACTGACACATTAATAGAAAAACATAATGCTGATGTGGTATACACGAACTTTGCAAAGGCATTTGATAAATGTGACCATATAATGACAGCCCATAAAATGAGATCAATATGATAACAGGTAAAGTAGGGCGATTGATATGGAATTTCCTGTAAAACAGAATACAAAGAGCAACAGTAAATCAAACAAAATCTAGTCCAAGTACATCAAAAAACTCTGTACCTCTGGGCACAGTCCTTGTTTTTTCTCATTCTCCTATCAGATATTGACAAAAGTACAAATCACGGCTTCATTTCAGATGATACACAAATCAACATGAAAATTACCTATGTAGAAGACATTGCAAAAGCTACAAAATGATATTAATAATATTAAAGCCTTCGATTTCGCAACGGAAAATAACACGTGGTTTAACTGATAAATTCCAGGTACTCAGGTATGGGTAAATGAAGAAATTAAACGAAATTCAGGATATAAGACACGATCAGACCTACTCATAGAAAGCAACATGTAAAGTATCTGAGAATAATGATGCCTTACGACCTAACGTTCAATGAACATAAACAGACAAATATAACACCGGCCAACAAAATGATAGGATAGGAACCTTCAAATCCAGGGTTTTCAATCCTTTTTTTTCAACCTTTCATCACAGTGCTCATACTATTCAAATCACTGGTGCTGTCACACCTTGAATACTGCTCGATACTCACTTCCTCCTTCAGAGCAGGAGAGATGGCTGAAATAGATGGAATACAGAAAACATATACGGTGCGCACAGACATGATTTATTAAAGCACCTAAAATACAGGAACTGTCTTTAAGCTCTCAAGATATACCCTATAGAAAGGAGACGAAAGAGATATCATCTAATATATACATGGAAAACTGGAAGAATAGATCCTAGATTTGCAAAGTAAAATAAGAACATACTGGAGCGAACGATATGAAAAGAGATGCAGAATAGATCCAGTGAAGAGTGGAGGTGCCATAGGCACAATGAGAGAACACAGTATGAATATAAGTGATCCACAGCTGTTCAATATTCTCCTAGCTCCACGTTGACTAACAATTACAAATTTTAAAATTACAGCTATTGGTTTCAAGGTTACGGTTACTCGATTCTAAGTTGAAGCTACTGGACTGGAAGTGATAATTGCTGGAATCGCAGTCGTGTTACTGGAATTTAATTTACCATTTCTGGATTCTAAAATATACAGAAACTATAGTTAAATTCCAAGCTGACAACATCGAACTGAATACTATCATCATTGTATTCCAAACATCCACCACTGTTCATAACTAGATTCCAAGAGATTATAAATAGGTGTTTCCATTTCGCATAAAAACAAAATTGCACCCTAAAATATGATGCCATTTTGTGCCTATAATCTTACAAGCGAACCTCGTACGATATAACAAGCAGAAGTTCTTTATACTGTCTCTGTGGCTCATTTGGGTACTCAGTTATCACCTGTGTCCCCATGTGCTAAATAAACTGTTATAGACTTTCTTTATCTATCCTATCAATTCCTCTGAGAACCTTGAATGTGGTTATCATATCTCCTCTAACTCTTCTTTCTTTCAGCGAAATGAGGTTTAGTTCCCGTAGTCTCTCCTCGTAGCTCATACCCCTCAGCTTGGGTTCGTCTGGTGATATACCTTTGAGCCTTCTCCAAATTAGTCTTGTGCTTGACTAGATAGAGACTCCATGCTGAAGCTGCATACTCCAGGGTTGGTCTGATATATGTGGAATACAAGATTCTGAATTATTCCTTTCACAGTTTTCTAAAGGCAGCTTTTATGTTAGCCAACCTAGCATATGCCGCTGATGATAACCTCTTGATGTGGGTTTCAGGAGGCAGGTCTGGCGTGATATCAACTCCCAGTTCTTTCTCTTTCCCCTGATTCTTGAAGGATTTCATCTTTCAATGGTATCTTGTATCTGGTCTCCTGCTCCATACACCTGCCTTCATTATGTGCGTGCGTATGTACTCACCTAGTTGTGCGTGCGGGGGTTGAGCTTTGGCTCGCGCGCGCGTGTGTGTGTGTGTGTGTGTGTGTGTGTGTGTGTGTGTGTGTGTGTGTGTGTGTGTGTGTGTGTGTGTGTGTGTGTGTGTGTGTGTGTGTGTGTGTGTGTGTGTGTGTGCGTGCGTGCGTGTGTGTGTGTGTGCGTGTGTGTGTGTGCGCGCGTGTGTGTGCGTGCGCGCGTGTGTGTGCGTGTTTGCAAGCCTGCTAACAAGACTGACAAATACAATTACTGGCAAAGCTCAGAAACATCATAGGAGGTCAGTCTCTTCTCTGTCGACGCGTGGCGTGTCTCATGGCACCTATTTGTTGGTTTGCTTCTTTACGACTTTAATATTTTATTGCAAGCGTTTTTACTTTTCACGTTTAATTTGTTGCGAATAGTTTTTGCATTTATTTTAGCTACATTTTAAATCCTTTATTATTACGCAAGTCTCGTTGACTTCTTATTAAGAGCTGGAGAGGAGCGTGGGAAGATTCTTGCTCCATAAAGTGTGCTTCTTTACTTGGTCCCAGCACCCCGGAGGTGCGCGTTGTGGGGCAACAAGGAAACACTGTTTTGTGCCCATTTCCGGTTACGTTGACCCGGGGAGGGTGGGGGGGTGGCCTTCCAGCTCGACTAGTTCCTTCATTCTCCGAACACTAATTGCCACAGTTAACACAGTATTTATGGTGAACTGTGAGGCAAGGTATGTGTGTGTGACGTACGGGGCACCAGCTCATCATTCTGGTATTTATCATACAGTGTGTCTTAAGGGTTGACTGTGAGAACACCAGCCTGTTGCTCCAGGGATGCCAGAGGTGGCGCTGCTACATGTTGCTTAAGATGCATCAGGCTCATCTCCCCCCCTCTTCCAAATCTTAATATTATATTCAGCAAAAATATTGATGTAGTTTATACGCTTTCTCTCTTCTGGTTTCTTTTACAAATATTTCAGCACATTAATTATATTTTTGCTGATAATATATAGGTACTCCATGTAAGGTATAAGATGGGTTTAATTGTCTTCGGAACCATTCAAACACGCCCACACAGGGGGGTCTGGTAGCTGAGCGGACAGCGCGCAGGGCTCGTGATTCTGTGGCTCTGGTTCGGTTCCCGGACCAAGCAGAAACAAATGGGGAAAGTTTCTTTCACCCTGATGCCACCTGTTACCTAGCAGTAAGTAGGTACCTGGGAGTTAGACAGCTGTTACAGAGCTGCTTACTGGGTGTGTTTGTGGAAAAAAAATAGTAGTTAGTTACAGTTGATTGACAGTTGAGAGACGGGCCGAAAGAGCAGAGCTCAACCCCCGCAAGAACAGCTAGGTAAATACAACTAGGTGAATACACACACACACGTTATTGAACATAACCGAAATAGCTAGATTATTAATTTTAGTCTGAATCTTCTCTATATATCTTAAGTTGTATCTCTCAACATCCATGGCGGCAGAGAGGAATTGGATGCAAATTAGCAGCAGCTATAATATATCTAACTATGTAGAATGAGAATGAGGGGTGTGTAAGGTGCACTGATGTCGATGTTGATGGGGCAATAGGAGAGGTGGGTGTGAGCTAGATATTCTGTTTTGGTCTTGAGAATGGTAGGATGTACTTAAATGTAAGTTGGCTGTTGATAGTTGGGTGGGTGTTTGATGCCTCTGTTTTCATGTCTGGTCTGGTTGTGTAAAAATTATGTATATTTTTTTATTTAACCTTTTGTTTGTGCATTCGCAGGTACCTATAAAGAGATGCTGCTGTCTTGCATATATATTGATATCGTTAGGAGTGCTCCCAACAATTCTTGCTCAATAAGACCATCAACATGCTCATGAGGAACTCTCCCAACACCATGTGAAACGACTTTAAAGCAACTGATGAGTATGACATGCTCACTTGTTGTGTGGCAGCCCCAATGCTCTCCATATATAGGCAAGACAACATCTCACAGATCAGTTTATTTCGTGTATATATGACAGTAAACGTAAATATTTTATATTGCCTTAAAGACATTATATATATATATATATATATATATATATATATATATATATATATATATATATATATATATATATATATATATATATATATATATATATATATATATATATTATATTCCAAGGTTTTCGACTTTGTATGTACGTACCCAGGTTGCTCCAGTTTTTACACGTTCTAAGGCTACTCTAATATACATATGTTCCGAAGCTTTTCTATTGTATAAATTAATTTTGGAACATACACGCAGTAGAGAAACTTCAGAACTTATTAACACTAGACTAGCGTAACCTTGGAACATATTAACACTATAGCAACCTTGGAACATTTTAACACTAGAGCAACCTTGGAACATATAAACGCTAGAGCAACCTTGGAACATATTAACACTAGAGCAACTTTGGAACATATTAACACTAGAGCAACCTTGGAACATATTAAATTAGAGCAACCTTGGAACATATAAACACTAGAGCAACCTTGGAACATAGAGCACCGTTGTTAGAGAGTTCGCTGCCCCTGTCGATCAGTTTATGAGGGTTCAGGTCTGTGAGTGATCAAACAACATTTCAACTTTTTATAACTATAAATATACTATTCGGCTTCACTTAAGATATTTTCATGTTAATTAAAGATTCTGAAATAAATCATATATGTTTACCTTTCCTGTGACATATAAGTTATTACCGTTTATTAACATCTATGGAGGTTTTTAACATTATAATTCGGGCGCTCGTTGCTCCGAACATGATTGCACATTTCTGGAGTACCTTACATGCCTTAATCCAACTATTATATATTGTAGGGTCGTACTTCAAAACAGCATCATTAGGCTACGAAAGAGTGTGTGTGTGGGGGGGGGGGGACATAAATGTGTGTATTGGTACCGATCAACAAACTCTGGTCAACTTATCGTTACTCAAAAGGCAGTAGTCACGATACTTACTTGATAAAAAAGATCCGTCCGTCCCGAGTGACACCGAAGCTCCATGGATGAGGAAGTTCCTTCTGCAGGAGCTCAGCGGCCATAGTCCTTCACCCCGGGTGTGCTGTAATCCTTCTACGCCGCAGTCTTCCCGCGCTGCAGGGTCTCTATACGCCGTACCCTACTTTGTACAAATTGCAGTCCTTCACTATAAAGTCTCACTACAGTATTAGCTCACTTGAGTCCTCTCACATTACCTTTCTTGAATTCCCGAGCGTTTCTCAACAAAAAAATGTCCTGTCACTCTTGCGTGGGGAGTTGACACTATTTACTGATTGTCCTTAACACGTGTTATCTGGTATTGCCAGATATCTTATAACCATACCACAAAACTACGTCTTGTAATTAATATTTTCAGTCATCTTTTAATCATTTTTCCACACGCTGTTTAACACTGAATGGATCTTTTCATCTGCAAGTCATTTCCAAGTTTTATCAACAGCCACCTTGTCATTACTTCTAAACTGTTCATATTTCCAATTTTTCTTCCACATTTTCCAGTTTGTCACAAACCATTATTTCATCACAGCCGTCACTAGTATTATAGACAGCCCCAGTCTGAGGTCGTCACACACCTGTTACTTTACCGCCTCATCAGACACTCGACGGATACATATGGATATCAGAAGCCATAATTTGCATATATGGCAAACCAAGCGGGCCATAGCACTGGTCCTACGATACGCCACTTCTCCTGAGAAGGGATGTTCACCTTGCGCGCCTTCCTACGCCTCCTTCTCTGCCCTACACACTGCTACCACCTCGTGAATATACCCAGCTTCCCACGGCAACAAGGCCCTTCAACACCATCGCCTTCTCCCAGGCCAGCATTCCTGTACGCGCCACACAAACACTGCCGCAGCGTGGAGAGCATGTGTGAGGGTCACACGCGGCCAGGCCCCGACGCTACTATGGCCAGGTACACCAAAACGTGTGAGCTTTGAACTGAGATGTTTGGCAGGAGAGGCTGCGAAGGGTACGATAATTCTCGTTTTTTCACCATCTCGCTCTGCGAGAAACACACCTTGTAACATAAAATGAGGTCCATTAAAAATATAATTACGCTTAAATGACATCATCCTGTAATATATTTACATATAAAAGAACAGTGTGTTGAAACGTTTGCGTAGAAACGTAGTCATCGTTTGCCCGAAACTGTGTGCGCATTAGTGGCTTCAGGCATAGTAGGTCTATCTTGAACTCCAACATTCTGTTTGTAACTCATTTTGAATGTATAGTACTTTCACCTGAATAAACATTATCATTATCAAACACATATCGCTCTATGCATCAATATATATACATATAGTTCCAAGACCCCTTATTAGTAGCCCAACAGCATAAAAAGAAATGACTTATTTATACAAATTATTTGAAAACAATCATCTATTTACATACTAAGTAGAAAAATGGAGTTGAAGGGCGACTGTGAGCTATACTTTAGGTTACCATTGGCGTGAGTGATGGCACAACAGAGATGCTGCCCGGGTACTTGGCAACTGTGGGTGGTGGTGGGGCCGTGCCCGCAGGTCGGGGGCGGGGTCTTCCGCTCCCCCCTACCCACAACCCACTACCCAAACATCACCTCATACCAAGGGAACACTTCCGCTAGAATTTTAGGCGACATATTTATAATAACAATCCCATCAGCGAGTGGCGATTAATACTGCAGAATTAGGCACATAAATCACCTGGTCCAATTAAAACGCTCTCACCAAAAAAAATTCACCATTCGAGAGCATGTAGCCAGGGCCATATCCTCCCCCTCTATGATTTAACCGTTCACTGCGAAACACCCGGCGGCTCGTGGCCTGGGCAGGTGTTTCCCTTTTGCAGGTACCATAATATTGATCCCATGCACACCTGCCACAGTTATTACGCGCCTCGACACGCGCCCGGTCTCCACTATTTCAAACGCTAACGTGTCGTCGCCAATTTAAAATGCCCGCCAATCATGCCACGGCATTTGGTGGAGATTTGATGTCGGTTACAAGGCACTATATAAGGTCACATATTGTTACACTCCCTTATTAACTATTTATTACCACCTATATAGCACCTAAAGCAAGTAGTTTTTTACGTTTAATGTAATAAAGACGGACAGCAGAGTCATTCTCGTTGGTTTGTGAGTGTATGTTTTTACTTAACAGTGCTTACCTAACAGTCACTACGGGAGGCGAGGTCTCCCTCATTATACCCCGGCTACTAGGCTTGTTGTACCTGTCGCGAGCACACGTGTGCGCGCGCGCGCGCGTATGTGTGTGTGTGTGTGTGGGGGGGGGGTGTTGTGTGTGTGTGCGTGATGGGAAACATTAGGTAATCTCTTTAGGTATGGCTAGACGGGGCAGGTCTCAGGTGAATAGTGGTGGACGATGCCCACTCTGTCAAGCACCCTTCGCAACGCACTCCTTTAGAAATCTGAATTTCTAAAGGAGTCGTTTAGGACCTTGTATACCCCAGGTAATAGACCAGTTATGTTATATTTGTTCTGTTTGCGCTATGCAACGCTATGCGTATTAGTGGCTTTAGGTATTGTATGTACTAGCTCTATCTTTAAATCCAACATTATGTTTGTAACTCATCTTCAATGTATGTACCTTTACCTGAATAAAAAAATCTTAATCTAAATCTTACATGCGGCGTCACGGTGTAGTAGTCTTATCTTGTTTTAACCAAAGCGAAGCTGGAAAAAAGTCCAGGGATATGCAACTAGATTAGTCCCAGAGCTAGGGGGCATGAGTTACGTGGAAATACTAAAGGAAAGAGGGGAAAACAGGATCACATATACAAAATACTTGGGGACTTGAGGGTAATCAAGGCGTGTGTGTACTGGGAGGATGTAGGGAGTTCAGTACCTGTGTTGGCCAAGTTCCATCAACTAGCTTGCTTTGTGCAGAAGAGGGAATATTTTGCATTAATGAGCAAGTATTTTAAATATTGATTTTTTATATTATATGCCATATGGGGGTTGAGACCGATAACATGGGGTTCCCAGTTTGATGATTACGCTCAATACGCTCCCCTGCTGCAGGTTGAACGATCTGAAAGCGGCAGAACATGTATAACTTACGGATTTTTCAAGATACAAAGTCGACTTTCTTTGTAGTTCGTTTTAGTGTGCACATTAGAGTAATTGTAGTGGTCATAGTGTTTACTTGTGTCTGCAAAATGGCTGTTGGGGTACCTGAGAGGCCGATCTACAGCTTTAAGGGAAAATTTTCTTTGTTATATAAAAGCTCGTTGTTAAAGGTGTCGACTGTGAAGGGTTGTAAGCGCTGTACCACTCACAGGCACTGAAAACACTGAGAGTTGAATTTTTACTATATGCAATGTTCTAACTTAAGATGGATAGTTGAGTTACATACTATTTAATTAAATTGTACATTTTATTAATCTACTGTGTAGGTACAGGGATAATAAGATCTGTTACATCCCGTTATACCTCTACGGTGTACGTCCGACACTTTTCAGAATATATCAGTAATTTGTCCTTTTTTTTAGCGGACTCATCATCAATAGCCAATTAACTCTGGAAGGTTTGTTAACAAAATAGTTTGAGTTCATTGAAAGTTTCTGCTGATGGCCTGGGAAGCTTTTAATTTCAGTGTTCAAGGTTGGAAGAGAGGAGGGAGGGAGTCAGTATCACTGACTCCACACTACGTGTTGTTCCTGTGTAGGTACTGTATTGCCTCTCTTGTTGGGAGCTGTTCACGTAGCCTCTACGGCTTCTATTGTGACCGCTGATGCTAGTTATGTATATGCTGCTGGAAGGTAGCTGCTTACTGCTCAGAGAAGGTAGTTAACGTCAGGTTGCTATGGAGGTAGGGGAAAGGTTCGCAATTTCCATCTCTTCTTGATTCTGGTGTGGTAATTGCTAATCCTCACTTTAAACTCTGTTGGACTATAAGGGCTACTGTGCCTGAGGTGGTCCACTCCCACTAGACGGCAGCATCCCGGAACTAAGGAGTGACCACTTGTTTTCTTATCAGCTGATGTCATGACCTGCGACCTCAAAGGTACAGCTGACAGTAGACGCAGCTTCAGTCAGGCTGCCATGGGAAATGGATTGGCAGGGAGATCCAGAGGGCGGAGGACGAGGGAATAGCGACAACCTTCTTTCTAAGGAGGTTGTCGCTATTGTTGTCTGGCACCTGTTTCCCTGAACGCCTACTGATTGGCAGGTGGCAGCGCGTCGAGATGTCAGCTGGAGCGAACATTGTGTAAACATGGCCCACATCTGTGAGTCCCGCAGGTGCACGAAACCACGTCTAACTGTCCAACCCGTAATTGGTTTGGTGTTGAGCTTAACGCCTATTAACCTATGGGAGGTTATTAAGGCAACAACAACAGCTTACTGGCCAATCAGCAAGTATACCTTAGTCTTGAACATTGTCCAGGACTAAAGTATACTGTCAGTGTATACCGCGAAGCAGGTTACACCTCTCAGTGTATATATATCCGTCACACTGAATGTCAGATGCATGTCAATGTGACTAGAACTCTCCTCTGATCTGTAATAATAATAATAATAATAATAATAATAATAATAAGGTTCCATACACTTTACAATAATACTACTGTCTTGTGCAGTACCTTATAATGTTAATAATAATAAATTTATCTGGAAAATATTCAGAAGAACATGATACAATAAGTTAGTTTAGTTCATTTATTATGCACCCCATACCCATCTTGTGGACGGTAGTAGAAAGGGTTACAGAGGCACATAATGGGCTCAGGGACTTAACTCCATAATTCATTTAGTCCTGAACCTAAATAACACTTCAGAACAATTAATTCACGATTCAGTTTTTTTTTAAGATTTAAATAGTTAGCCATTTTTTTAGTTTTAGTTTTCTTTTAAAACTTTAGATTTCCAGAAGAGAAAATGTTTGATGGAAGACTATTTTAAAATTGGCAGCTCCGAAGCGTATTCTGAAGGTTTCTACAAGAGAAACCTTTTGATGGGCAATAATTTTAAAGTTGTCAGTTCCGAAGCTTATACCTAAGTTTACCTGAGAGCCAATATTTAGTGACCTTGAAGGAGACAGGAATCCGGTGACCTGTGAAAGGTCTCGTTATTCATATGGGGCCATTCCATGGGTTTATATATGGGTTACTTACACTATTCGGAATAAAATCTCATTTTAACTATCCAACATCGTCCCTTGTTGAGATTAATGTTCTTGTCCCTTGACGTAACAAGGGGCAAGGAATTGACGTAACAAAGGAAACATTACAGACCTTAAAAAAATTGTCTGTATTCTTCTAATTTGTTAAGTATTTAAAAGATTCCGATGAGGCTATCGCTGATATATCTTGTTTCCAGAGTTATTATTCCTGAGACCTTCTGCCTTTGTTTCTATAACAGCCGACAGGGTTTCCCCCTTTTCTCCCTGTCGGGGACAGGAAGCCTGTTAGGAAACCAATTATGTGATTACTCCAATCACATAAGTGTTGTTGAGTCTCCAATCACTTGTTGTTGTTGAGTCTTCAATCACTTATTGTTGTTGAGTCTCCAATCACATACGACTTGTTGAGTAACGTAGTTGATGGCTCCTTTTTTTGGGTCTGTTTCCTTAGTCTTAAATAAACTCATTAAAGATGACAGCCCCCATTCCATGATCCCGTTGCATTGACGTTATGCTATTAACGACTATTTTCAAGTTAAACGAACCGCAGCCGCATGATCCCTACTAATTTATATATCATTAAACAAGTCCTCTCGTTGGGTGACAAATCCATGTTCCAGGTAGATTAGTCACACAAAGTTAAGATCCAAGCAAACAATCTTGTCATTACCTAATCACTATCTGCCTCCTACAATTCCCTGGATAGAATTTTGAATTCCACATGCATTACCTGAAGGTTTACTGCTTGTCAACTTAGCACAGACCAAATTTGTAGTTAAGACTTTAAAGTTATCTTAGAACGTACATCTTAGTGATGATTCCTCCTGTGTAAAGCATTTCTCACAAATTTGGCAGAATAAAGATGGTTTAATAACTCTCTGGCCATCACGAGGATACTCCTCATCTTTTACACCGAGAGACACAAATTTACGATTGTACTCTATTAAAAATCAAACCAAAATCAAAATGTTTATTCAGGTAAAAGTACATACATAGAAGATGAGCTACAAACGTAATGTTGGATCTATAGATATAGCTAGTATATACACTACCTAAAGCCACTAATACCCACGGCGTTTCGGGCAATTAGTTAGTCAATTATTAGTGTTATAAGTGTTACTGATTTATTATTCATTGTGTGTGTTATTTATTTACTGAGAAATTTGTTTTTCACTGTACATGTAGGAAAGAAAGAGATAGAATGTTGTGTTTTATTTATGGTGTATTCGAAGTGACGTCATTATGACGTCACACATTCTTTTCACCGCCCACCTCCAGGCAGCCATCTCCCTGCTAGCCTGAGATTACTATCTACTGTACATCTAAATCACTTCCTACTTCTTATTAATCCATCATACATGCAATATATGATTGTTACAAGGTTGCAGTTTCTTTTGTATATATATATATATATATATATATATATATATATATATATATATATATATATATATATATATATATATAACAAAAACGGTTTAGAATTTGGGTTGTAGAGTGGCAAAGTTCGCACCCCAACAACACCAATGGTTGTAACCTTGGTCTTGTAGATTGTATATAATATATACTTGTTTAGGCTTTCTATCATAAATATTTCTTGCGCTGATAAAATGCTCTTGTAAGTAAGATTGAAACAGTGCTATGCATTATCATTTAAGGATTCTTACAAAGTCTTTCTTTCCTTCAAGGCAACCCCCATTATATCGAGAGCTATTGTCAAATTCGAAAATTATAAGAAAGTTTAGATTACATCGTAGTGAAAGTTTATCGTCAATACTGGTGGTATAACTAACCTAAATCTTTGTCTGCTAGCACGTCCGTATATTCTTGGTGATGTTCCGCCTCTTCAGTGAATAGGAAAAAAGTTGCCAGCCACAAGAAAGCCTGTATAACTACTTTGAGCAAGTCCCCGCACCACCGAGTTTGCTAGATTTATGCAAGGAATGTTTTCCGACTGTGGTAATCAATTATATATATATATATATATATATATATATATATATATATATATATATATATATATATATATATATATATATATATATATATATATATATATATATATATATATATATATATATATATATATATATATATATATATATATATATATATTTTAGTATCACCTCTGGCTGGAAGAAGGGGGACCCATAGCCTCGGAGGAAACCACACATAACGCATTGGAGGGAATGTAGGTCCCCCTACATTCGAATGTAGGTAGACGAACAGGTCAACCCCTTCCCACGATTTGACGAACCTCAAATTTGCAGTAGTTTAGACTACAGAAAAGTGCTCGAGCCTAGGTCATCCACCGAAATTATCGATGCTGTTACTCATTAATCGCAGGCAGCACCTGCGATTAATGGTGCCTTATGGTGCTTTTGATTTCACTAATGCACTTAAATTATTTGTTCAGGGAAGGGGAATTTCCCTATGATCAGACGTTCCCAAACACAACGAAGCATGGAAAGTAACGATAAAATTTTCCTTCTTGCTGCAAACGTTTCGTTTCGCTTCAGTCTGTTTCCCGGTTATATGCTTAGTGTTTCAGAAATGTTTAATGTTTGTTAAAACTAACATTAAAGCAATTATTGTTTTGTTTTAACTGTTATTAAGTATAGACATAGTGTAATCAGGAAGTCGACCTTAGGTGTATTAGTTGTATCTGTTGGAATTACATTCGTCAATTCAAAAAATTTTCTCATGATGAGTGGTGGTAACAAGTAATAGATTACCTTCATATTAATTGCACACTACTTTCTCTATCAGCTATCTCACCCTGTCAGAGTAAAAGAGACAAAGGTATGTGTGTGTATATATATGTATGTATGTATATGTGTGAGTATGTATGTGTATAAAGTATATGTGGAAGCTGATCAGAGTTACGTTTCGCCTTTGTAAATGCACATTAATGACACTGTAAAAGACACATCGAACACTTTATGTAGCATACATAAATCTGTGTATCTATGTATTTACGTATGTAGCTTAGCCTAGCATTTTAAAAGCACTACAATCACCTTCTGTGGTTGATTGTTCAATAAATCCTTGAACTGTATGTTTGACAAATCTCTCACACTGTCCATGGAGGACAGAAGAAAATGTATATATGTTGGTTAGCATTGTAAATGTTTGGCCACGTCTGTGGTAGAAAATAATAATAATAAAAAACAACAACTTCGTATTAGAATACAAAAAAAGTAGTAGACGTCACGAGCCCACAATAAGGAAAGCTGAGACTAAAAAGCAAGCCATTTAATATCATTATCGAAATGAGGAAAATTCTCGCTGAAAATTGTTCCAATGAAAACCACATAACTTACATTAACAACTTTACTTATGCAAATAATTTGATTAAACTTTGTGGAATGACATGGGTTTTCCTCTATTCATATTTTTAATGCTTTGAACTTTAGATACCTATATCGTTAAGAAATTAGTACTGTAAATAAATAAATACACATTACGATTCTCCGAAAACACAAGACAAAACGTGTCGTATATGACGAAAATACTTGAAAGAGGAAAACTTTGTGCTGGGTCCCAGAACCCGGATGGAGGATAGCTTGGTGAGGCTAGTAGATGAGGACCGGTGGTGAGTCATGCTCTGAACTGGGAGAGTACTTTCGTACCTTTTGTAGTATGAAAACATTGCTATAATAAACACAATGTGAATAATTTGATCATACGTTATTGGGTCGTTCAACAAAGTATATGCCTACTAGTCAAAATTTTGTCTTCTAAAGGTGCATTCAGAATACGTTGAACCAAGATTCATCACAATGAATAAGCTAAATGGGAATATGGAAAACATTTTTATTTGATTTTATGAGCCTGAATAATTTCATTGCTTTCGATATCTGAGAATATCGGAGAGAACAAGTTAATATAACACGATCATGGGGATCTATTTAAAATCAGAACTTTGTTCCTTGTGTTTGTGAATAGGTATTGACGCTGATAGCTTCTTCAAAACATTAGTACACACACACACACAATTCAGCATGGCGCCCATGTGTGGTAAAGCACAATATCAAAATTGAGAAAGTCCTTAGATACGCCAAAAGATTAGTACCAGAAAAGAGTGAGTTATGAGGGGAGGGTAAGAAAATTATTTCTAACGGCATTAGAAGAGAACAGGACTAGAGGCGATATGACCACAAACTTACAAGATAATGAAGTGAAAAGACGAAATGAATAGAGACTGAATTTGAAGTAAAGGGAATCAAAACAACAGGCGGCGCAAGTGGAAAATGGAAACATAGAAGGAGCAGAGAAATGTAAGGAAATATGTACTTGTATGTAGTAAGTGTGGTAAACAGCGGAATGAACTTTAGTCAGAGGTGGTGGAAGCAATAACTAGTCACAGCTTCCAATGAAACTAGGATAAAATACAGTCATGAGACAGGGGCTCTAGGCCTAGACATAGCTCCTCGTAAACCCACATACATACTAAGAATACGCACATAGCTTCTTAAACACTCAAATACACAGCCTTGCAGAGAGAAGACAATTTTCTACTTCTGAACACTTGGATCTGATATCTACCATATGAAGTGAGCTGTTACCGGGATTTCCCCCAGGAACAGCAAACAGGTTTACTAGTTCCAGGTTAATATCGAGTAGAGACGCCTTTGTGTCGACAATTGTGCTTCTTCAATATGAAAAATTATATGACAACTTCATAAGTAAAAAAAAGAGCCATCATAGTATGCAAATATTAAAATTTATTAATATAATCCTGCGATCGTATACAAAATCCAATTTTGTGACATAGGCTGTGGATAGTTTTATTTTATTTTATTTTATTTTCATATTTTAAAGGAATTGGTGGTAGGAATTGTGCAATTTGAGCTTGAATCTCCTGTCATCTTGTTTTCTCAATTCTGAATAAAAACTTGCCAGCAGTCGGTATTACAATAGGGGGATTCTGAAAATACTGTTAACATGGATTTGATATTTTAATTGTTAATTAACCGGATTATTTGAATAAATGGTGCCTCATTTTAGGATCTTATGGACACAGAGTAAAACCTAAGTGTCTTTGTGTATTGTAGAACAATACACGTTTCTCCTTTTCGATATACCTTCAACACTTGAAGCATTTTTACATATCTCTTTTGTAGAATTATGGAAATATATCTAATACGATTTATTCAAAGAATATTTTTTTATTTGGATAAATACTAAGCAGCAGTTTTAACAGGAAATTCACATTCTGTCAATCAGAGACGCTGTTTAAAACTTATTATCAATGCCCGGAAACGGGGTCTCCCCTGTTATATTGTGGCGTTGTCTTGGTGGTGGCGAGGACGTCATGTTTGGTGTCGGAGTCGCCAAGGCGTCACAGCTTATGTTGGACACCTCATTTATTTTAGATTTACTCAAACATAACATTACATTAATTAACATGTTTACCGAGTAGTATATAATGGTACCATAGATTGCACCATGTACGTAGTTCACGTTATAGAATATGCGTTTGAACTAAAAGATTTTTGTGTCTGTACTTAAAAAGAATTGCACCATAGGAGTCAACGAATATGTGAGGTTATGTAAATATATGGTTTTGGAAAAAGTGTAGCCTAATTTTTTGTCTGAAGTTGTAACATAATTTGTTCTTATTTGTATCCGGTAAATGAAGCACTCTAAAAAGAGTTCGGAAATCCTCTTGCATTTGTTTATACGACTGGAGAGTGATGGGAAGTGAAGGGTCACAGTATGGAACTCACTGAACTGAGAAACTGGCAACCTAAGAATGGTATTCCCAGTATTGAGAACTTGGCAACTAAGAAGCAAGGTTAAGAACGAGACACCTGCGTCTTTCTTGCCAGTCTGTCTCCGTGCGCGTAAGGAGACTTAAGTCACAAGCTGAGGATATCTTCAACGGTATGTATTTCGGTTAATTAGTAGAGTTTTATAATCTTGAAGAGTGTAGTGAATACATACGTTTTATTAGAGTCGAAGGAACTATGTAAAATTATAAGCATTTGCGACAAGATGTTAATTATTGTGTTATTTATAAAATGGTTTTAATAGGTGTCTTTCCGGAAAATTGGTTTTGATTATCCTCAGATAATGTTTCATCCTCACAGTATTAGGCAGGGGCATAAAAATATATATTTTTTTTAATTTTTTAAGTGTAAAATAAAAATATAATCCGATGCTCAACATTGAAATATAAAAATATTGAAGCCACCACTCTTAAATATAATAGTTAAGAAAGAAATTATCAATTTGTAAAGATTAAGAGTAAAAACAACAGTGGCAGATGGCACTCTTGAAAAACCAGTTGAGTTACTCTCCAGGAGAGAGAGTGTACGTTATACGCAGCCACAGCTACCAGCGAGTAAGGACTCTCAGTCCAAGCTGTGGTTATATTACCATATTAACTGAAAGAGCTGGACTGCTATATGGTTTGGAACACTAGGCTGGGGGGACGGATTATAAATTTCATCAACACAGTATATGCATTTCCAATAAATTTTCACTCAGTTCATACTGTGAGAAATACTAGACAAAGGGATACTATGCTGCTAGTTCTGCTTGTGTGGAGGTCAGCCAGTTGTTTAACCTGATACTGACAGTCTTTGTGCAAATAATATTTCTATAAAACCTACATGCTGCTGCAGTCCGTCCAGTAGAAGATTGGACTGAGCCGTCGGTGTAGACACAGTGCTCGCGAGTCTTAAATTCTCGCTGGAGGAGGCAGTTGTTTCGAGTGTGACAACTTTGAGAAAAGCAAGAATTTCATTATCTTTCTTGGTGACAGGTGTGTATATATTCTTGCGGCAACCATGACTGGTGAGCCTAGAGACTAGTGCTAAGACATGCAACCCAGAATTCGCAATAACTTTTCTTAATAGCATCTGTTTTTTTTCATTTAATTTGTATAAATTTGTATTATGCATTTGAAACTGTTGAGATACTTGTTAGGTTCATGAAGTGAATCACCTCAGTAGTTTTGCCGGTTTTGAATGAAACAGGCCCTTCTGGTTTAAGAGAAATTCCTTTGACGTCATTATTTGCTTAATTTCATTTTTAGAAATGGTGTTAGTTCTCCGAAGGCTTATAACAGTATAAAATAATATATATATATATATATATATATATATATATATATATATATATATATATATATATATATATATATATATATATATATATATATATATATATATATATATATATATATATATATATATATAGTGTGTGTGTGTGTGTAATTCACGAAAATAAACACGTGATTAAAAATGTGACAGAGTCAGACCACGGAGGAAAATTGAAACGGAATTTCCTTAAGTACTTTCGTACATTAATACATCTTCAGAAGGAGTGAAGATGTATTAATATACATCCTGTATACATATACATCCGACAAGACTCCTTCTGAAGATGTATTAATATACGAAAGTACTTAAGGAAATTCCGTTTCAATTTACCTTCGTGGTCTGACAGTCATATATATATATATATATATATATATATATATATATATATATATATATATATATATATATATATATATATATATATATATATATATATATATATATATATATATATATATATATATATAATACTTAATGTGTTGCATATTTCCATAGTTATAAAAGACATATACATTATATAATTATTAATATCTTGTTGATTAACAAACATATTTCACGAATTATAAATTCCTATCTGTATATCACTAAATTCGCTGTTTCATTGTTTTATTTGTTCTCAACTTTTAGGAAATTTAGAGCATAAATGTTCTATGTATTGATATTTTTATTTTATAATATCTTAGTTACAAGGCATTACACCGCTTAGTTTATGGACGGAGTAGATATGCTTAAGGTTAAGAAGCCGGGAAGTATCGGTCACAGAGGTCTTGTGTTATAATTATACCGACAAGACGTGTTTCCCAGACCAGGCATCACGTCAGCTCGGTGGGAAGTTCTGTGGTACCAGCGTCCAAGGCCTTCACACCGGGCATTCCCCGGACCATATCCTTGAACGCCGGTGAAACCTTAATATCAGGTTGAGACTAAAGCCTAGCATACAGTATATTTAAATGTTAGAGTTTTATTTTCATTATTTAAGTAATTACATGTCCTTCTAGTTCCAGTATTAAGTCCGGTGCATATTGTACATGGTAGTCAAGTGTTCAGAGCACCTGCTTATGTTAGTTCAAAACAAGGCTTTGCCATAAGAGGTTTTTAAAATTTGTGGAAATAGCATCGATTCTTTTCTGTTAAGCGTCAACAACATGCTGAACTTCGCTCCTTCTGCTAGCTTCCGGATTCACGAAGCACTTACACAAGTACTTACGAACGTGTACATCTTTCCTCAATCTTTGACGGCTTTGGTTACGTTTATCAAACAGTTTATAAGCATGAAAACTTCCCAATCAACTGTTGTTATTGTTAAAAACAGTCTCCTGGTGCTTCGGAGCGCATTCACTCTTTAATAATTGTAAACAGAGCCGCCAAAGATTGAGAAAAGATGTACAGGTTCGTAAGTGCTTGCGTAACTGAGACAAGAGAGCATGGTGCACACAATTATTACATCACAAAAAGTTCCCGGAATCTTCCGTGGTCAGCCAACGTTCATTTTTAGTTCAGAAGAACCACTGCTACCATTATTTGTAGGGATCATTTTTACATGTGTGGGCGACACTTCGAATGTATGGGTGTTCGCAAGATGAGTTAATTACCTTGTAAAATAAAGCAAGGCAGGCATATAACCTATTAATGTATAGTGTGACAATAATTCTTCATTTGATGCATGTTTTATAACGTCAATGCATTTTTAGAATAATAAATTTAACAATTTAGGAAAGTTTATAAATCTATATATACATGTATATATAAATTCGAAAGTCTGTTCACTATGCTATCAGACATCGTTAAACGAAATTCGGCCACACTTTCCACGGCTTCCTCATTTGACCCAAAAGAAGGTTGCATCTTCTAGGCCCTGTCTTAAGCAACGATTGTTTTTTGTCCATATCGGTAGCTAAGTTCCAAGTCTTATAACTCTCCCAAGATTCAGTCACAATCTATTTTCTTGACAGAAAATCCCAATGAATCATGGATTCTGGGGAAACCCCAAGGGCCAGGGATGGTAAGCGGTAAGAGTAAAGTTGATACAGTGATGAAGATCGTATGTGGAGAAGACGTGGGCTCTGATGTTCACTTGGGAAGTGTTGGGTACCTCGGCAAATGCTATCTCGTGTAACAAGTTGAAATCATTAATGTATGAGAAACCTGAACTTTGTATTGTGCATTATTTTAGGGGAACTTTAATTTACAATATGTACGAAATTTTGTCAGTGTTCTTGCTATCACACACACACGCAGACACACACTCACACACACACTCACACGCTTTCTAACTTCAGAATTGCTTTTAAATACATGGATGGCGATATACTAAAGAAATTGTTCACGACTTTTGTTAGGCCAAAGCTAGAATATGCAGCGGTTGTGTGGTGCCCATATCTTAAGAAACACATTAACAAACTGGAAAAGGTGCAAAGACACACTACTAACTGGCTCCGAAAACTGAAGGGCAAGAGCTACGAGGAGAGGTTAGAGGCATTAAATATGCCAAAACTAGAAGACAGAAGAAAAAGAGGTGATATGATCACTACATACAAAATAGTAACAGGAATTGATAAAATCGATAGGGAAGATTTCCTGAGACCTGGAACTTTAAGAACAAGAGGTCATAGATTTAAACTAGCTAAACACAGATGCCGAAGAAATATAAGAAAATTCACTTTCGCAAACAGAGTGGTAGACGGTTGGAACAAGTTAGGTGAGAAGGTGGTGGAGGCCAAGACTGTCAGTAGTTTCAAAGCGTTATATGACAAAGAGTGCTGGGAAGACGGGACACCACGAGCGTAGCTCTCATCCTGTAACTACACTTAGGTAAAACACACACACGCACACACTCACACACACACTCACAGACACACACACGCTCACACACAGCAGCAGAAGCACCTTATTCAAGCAAGTGAATATCTGGATATCATTCATGTATTTAGACAAGAAAGTCTTCTGAGCCGTATACACTACGTATGTGATACCAATAATTGAATATGAAACGATTATGTGTTAAATTCATCCAATGAAACACGAATATAAAAAAGAATATCTCCCGGGGATTTGTAACAATGCTGATCCTTGAGCTGAGAGGAATATGATGAAATGCTGCAGCCTGAGCATGACCTCCTAACACTGGAGGGACAGAGCATGACCTCCTAACACTGGAGGGACAGAGCAAGACTAAACTTGATCACTACATAAAGGCTCTTGAGAAATCAACATGGTAAACAAAGATGAAATGTTAGAAAAAATAATTAGAAAAAGCACAGGGGCATGATTGTAACAACAAGACACACAGATGTCATAGATATTTAAGAAAGTATTCTTTAATTATGAGAAGTGAATAGGTGTGATGTGTTAGACGAAGCAGTATGAAGCTACCAAATTTTAGTTTTAAAAGCAGGTGTAATATAAAAATGGAACGTAGGAATAATTGCACTTGGTGACCGACAGCATGAAAGGCGAGGTCTAAGAGATGAGGCTCTACCCTGCAGGTACGATTCTATAAGCATTTTTACGTACATTTTTTACGTGAAGCCTTCCACTGCCTTCCAAGTGTAATAGAATGATTTAAATACGGTAACGAATGTGAAAATTTTAGTTATCATTACAATGTAGTAATTATAGAATTACAATTATATTATACAGTATAGTTTATATTATTATATAGTAATTATATAGTTTACAATATAATTATCTTTAGTTTCTCACGTGCTGGTTTACGTTCTATGATAAAATATACATATTTCTCATTAAAACAATTAGATAAAATATACAACTAAAATAATAATGATGTGCATATTTTAACAGAATTAATATATTTTTCAGAAAAAATGAAATTGCTTGGATGTGTGGTGCTCTTCCTCGCGACGGCCCAGGCACAAAGTAGGTATAATGGCTCCTTTATAACCGCATGATAACATTTTAGAAATAGTGAGTCATATATGAAGAGTAATAGCGCTTTTATTTTTTCACACATAGCAATTGCATGTCTATTAAATTTACTTCAAAATATTTCAGCCTATCTGAATTCTTATGCTACTTTACTCACATATTTAACTAGTTTTAAATGCGGATTTTTAATTGCAACTGTATTTTGTTCCTCCTCTTCCCACATCCCCCTTTCCTGTCACTCCCTCCATCCTGCTGTCTGTCTGTCTGTCTGTGGCCGGGTCAATTAGAGTTCTTAGTTATATATATATATATATATATATATATATATATATATATATATATATATATATATATATATATATATATATATTGTATATATATATATATATATATATATATATATATATATATATATATATATATATATATATATATATATATATATATATATATATATATATATATATATATATATATATATATATATATATATATCTCATGGTATCCCCCCCTCTCTTCCACCTTTTGTTTACCCTCTTCACTTCATATTCACACCTCATCACCCAGTTCGTCCCTTCCTTCCTCACCTGCCCCCCACTTCTTCCCTCTTCCACTTGTCTCAAAAAAATGTATCATTAGGAAGCAGTGGAAACTCTATGGGAAACACGCCAAATATTTCATACTTGACTCCAAGAAAATTGCATACAAGTGTCTATAAATGCTAATATCTCTTAAATTATTTAAGTTAACCGACCCCTACCAGCCTATGTCCGATCCTGTACCTGAGACCATTTCCCTTATAAAGTTGGTTTAAGTTAGTCCCCAATTAAACGATTGGCCTCTGACCTTGAACAGACAGACAAGCAGACATTATCTCTTATGGATATAGATTGGCAAAGGTATATTCAAGCACGTAAACAAATTATAAAATAATAACAAAAATGAGATCCTTAGAATAAATCCAGCAATGAATTTCTTTAAATAATATTTACCACAAATTATTCTCATGGATTTATAATCATTATACCATATTCAGCACTGAATGGCTCCTTGCCTCAGAACTTTATCCTAAGCTTAAATTTTATTCAGCCCATTCTCATCAAACATTTTTTTAGGGATGCGGAGAAAAGAATTAATTTAAGAAAATGGGCAAATGGTTTCAAACACCCTGATGATATAAAATAATAACACTTTTATCTTGGAAAATAGGCAACATCTGATTCAATGTGAATTACTCTGAAAATAACTTAATTTCAGAGCTTCACAAATAATATACATGTGGAAAATACTGGAGAGCCAGGTCCCAAATCTGGATCATCCAATAAAATCAGCAGACTTCTAGATGTTACTACTGCTCGGCTTAGACTCGGTTACAAGTATCTCTGGGAATTCTCATTATCTGCTAATGTAGACCTGACCAAATGTAAACTGTGTCAACAAAATTATTCGCACACCCTCCGTCACTATGTGATGGAGTGCGAAAAGATACGTGAATTTAGAGACAATTCTATAACCAATGTTCCAGCGATGTGTCAATATTTCATTCAAAATGATCTGCTACCAGAAATTTTAGCCAAATATCCCCAGTTTGCTAACTGTAGGTAGTAACTAAGTGATTGTAACCTATCCACCGCTGTCCACTGGATGGGGGGCGGTGTTCAGGACAAACATATAAATTTTGACACTAGCTCTCCACATATGTCAGTTGCTTAATTTAGAACCTGTACTTGCGGTCGATCTCGAACCCATTGTTGATGTGATGACTTATATTGAATTTTGTAACTAGCTCATCAAGATTGTAACTTGCTTAGCTAAATGAATTGTGGGGTTCAGTCCCTGAGCCCATTATGTGCCTCTGTAACCCTTTCCACTACCGCCCACAAGATGGGTATGGGGTGCATAATAAATGAACTAAACTAAACATACTGGAGTGAACGATATGGATGAAAATGCAGAATAGAATCAACGAAGAGCAGGGGTGCCATAGGCACAACCAGAGAACACTGTATAAACATAAAAAATCCACTGTTGTTCATCATCCTCCCAGCGAGCATAAGGAATATTGCCGGAACAAACATGGTCGTCAAGAGAAAACTGGTTAGTTTTCTTAAAGAAGTGCCGGACCAACCGGGCTGTGGTGGATATGTGGGCCTGTGGGTCTCTGCAAGCAACAGCCTGGTGGACCAAGCTCTCACAAGTAAAGCCTGGCTCAGGACCGGGCTTGGAGACTGGAAGAACTCCTACAACCCCATCCAGGTACAATCCATCCATATGCCGTTTGAATTATTTTACCAACACAATTTTAACACGTTTTCTCGTTTTATAATTCACAGTTACATTCCCCGGTGAGCCCAAGGACGTTGACAGTAAGCTCAACAATGTACTATCAGTGGAAAACCGCCAGAACTTTAACTTTCTTACCTCTAACTTTGCCAACGGCTGCAGAACCCCCGAGGGACAGGGAGGTACGTACTTTATTGAACTTCTTTAGGCTTGAGTCTTGTAACTGACTGTCTTTGGTAGAGTAGATGAGTGTGAGGGAAGGACTGTCACTGACGGTAACTGACTGTCTTTGGTAGCGTAGATGAGTGTCAGGGAAGGAGGAGAATCAAGATAAAATGCAAATAAAGTTTTCACAACTTCGGCAGACTTAAGGAGAGCAAGAACAAGTTACATGGCTTGGGTGTAATGTTGTATCCAAATGTTTGGCAAGGTGTAGTGGAACGACTATTCAAGAGACTCTTCTCCTCGGATGTAGTTATGCTGGATGTTATGCACTAGGAAATTCATTATAGCTAACCTGTTTGTTGAGACAGTTTTGAATGTTGTGACTGTTAGGTTATAGCCCTTTGTTTAGAACTTTTGTGAGGGCGATGTCTTAATATCTTATGAGATAGATTTTGGTGGCTGAACTTATGTAGGTTGAGTGCTCACTACGATCATTACTAGACGATCATTGGTGCGGTGGTCACGGTGCTGTGTACGTTTAGGGGTGATCCTGGACGGCATGGGTTCGAATCCTGGCCGGGTCGGTTTCACACACACGAAATGATTTTATTTCCCCTAAAAGTGGGTTCCCAAATAAAACATAAGATTTAAACACTATTACACAGCAATTAATAATTGAGCACTTCCTATTGTGTATTTGGAGATAATTTGGGTGTGATGTAATGTTTCCTAATATAGTATGGTCATGTGTTTTTATCTCTGAAATAATTGTTCATTATTGTACTGTTATTTTGAATGGTTACAGGCACTTGTGGACCACTGAGTCAGTGTCGGAGTTACGCTGACCTCTTTGGTCAGATCAGTCAGCCACAAGTCCTCCAGTTCCTCAGGCGTCGCATATGCAGGTAAGATCATCGTCGTGTCCAATTTTGTTCTCGTGAAACCATTTAATACTGAATTCTGCTATTTTGTACTTGAAGATGCAGTATTATTATAAAGATTTAATATAAAATAAATCTCATAGCATGACAGTCCAGTGCTGTAAATACTGTAATGACTGTAAATACTGTAAAATATTACAAATCCTTTGTAATATTTTACTTGTTATAAGCTCTCTCTACTCAGGATACTCATTTATGTTCCCGCCATCAGATTCTTGCCGAGGACAGTGTACGTGTGTTGCGCTCCAGGGAGACCAGGCTCTCCTGGGCGCTCAGCTCCCATCCCTCCTGGGCGCCCAGCTCCCATCAAGAACATCATTCCATCGGAGAGTGTCTGTGGTACTCCCTCCGGAGATAGGGTTGTCGGAGGCGACATAATTGAATATGTACGTTCACATTATGTATTCAATATTGAAAGGTTTTTGGATATATTATTTGCAAATATTTCTTTTACCATCACACATTGAAATGTTAAGGCCTCATGAGAGACATAAATCTGAAATCTTTAAAATATTATCAATTGATTCATCTACCGTTATCTATACCTGAAACCCACCATTTCCTAACAAAACTCAACAATCAGAACTATAGCAAATTCTGTATCGACAGTATGCAGATCATTTGTTCAGATTTCGGAACATGATAAACATTGACACACTCCATCCATTAACTTGTGATCTTTACACTTACAAAACCCTTTACTGCAATACTAATCCTAACTAGTAATTCTTCTCTAGAGGGATGTGATAGAGCCCATAAACATCATATAGGAAATATTTCTTTACCCTTCCAAGTTTCAAGGTATTCAAACGTGCTATGCCAATAAAGGAACCTAAAATACATTATTAAACTCCCTAACGGAGTAAAGAATTCTAATACATTTTCTTTATTGCAAAATCAAGTAAAAAAACGCACATCACTTCCTCATTATGGTACCCACCCAATTATTACTATTATTACAGTTTTGCATCTGTAGTATTATATCATATTTACCTATGAACCGTTCTGTTGATAATTCAATGCGTACTGTCTAAAATACAACTCCATCTGATACTATATCAATTCTCCTTATCACTAATGGTAGTTATTGTTGTTTTAGATTCAGCTACTAGGAACAAAAACGTTCAAGCAGCACGGGCTATGGTGAGCCCGTTGTGGATATATTCTAGTTTATATGTAGGCTCGGCTTCAGGTAGTTACAATACTACTACTGTTGTATTGTAATTACGTGAAAGCCTAGCCTACATATAAACTAGAATATATCCATTAGTTTGAAGTACATTAATACTGACTTTTCTGTTGAATTGTAAAGCTCTGCAAATTCCATATTAGTGGTTTTAGAGGAGCGTAGCCTATCTGTAAATAGCTTATCACCTTATTTGTGTTAATTAATTTGTATCTACTGTACAATGGCTTCTACAGATAGAACATTTCTCATTTTCTTCCTTTATTGCCTCTTTTTCTAATAATATTTATCGTGGAGGTAATGTGCTTTGGTTAATTTAGTGCACTTACACAGCCTGGGCGTTGGCCGTGGCTGGCGGCCATAGGGTTTCGGCAAGCAGACGGCTCCTTCCGTACCGACTGTGGTGGCACTCTCATCACCCAGCACCACGTGCTTACGGCTGCCCACTGCTTTAACGAGCCTGGCAAGAGAGACCCGTGAGTATATTAATAATAATAATAATAATAATAATAATAATAATAATAATAATAATAATAATAATATTTTATATATAAAAATCACAAAATTCTAAATTGGGTATTCATATTTTTTGTTATAAAACAACTGCTGCCTCCATATGCTTTGACTACAAAGCGTATATAGCCATACTAGTGCTTTCTTTTGATAATTTCAAAATCAAGTTCATAAACTTTATTCTGAAATGGTGGTACAGTAATAGTTGACTAAGTTTACAAATTTTCACGTTCATTAGTTATACAAGAAAAATTAATGACAATATTAAATGATAAATCCAGCCCGTCCTTCTGTTTATATAGTACTGGACAATTAGAAAGTAGAATTTAGTACTATTGAATTTGGACAAGCCGGAAAAAAGTTTTGTATTCTCTCTCTCTCTCTCTCTCTCTCTCTCTCTCTCTCTCTCTCTCTCTCTCTCTCTCTCTCTCTCTCTCTCTCTCTCTCTCTCTCTCTCTCTCTCTCTCTCTCTCTCTCTCTCTCTCTCTCTCTCTCACTTTCTCAGAAAATATAATAATATTAGATTCAGTAACCCGAATCAAATGACGAGAATGATGAAATCACGCTCGTCATTTTCGAGTAAACAATGAAAATGAGCGGGTAAACTGAAGGTGTAAGGATTAAAACCCTACGGGAAAAATCTCCGAATTCATTTCAGATTTCAGAAAATCCCAAGGCGTCTCTATAGATTCTAATATTTCTCAAAGTGTGGCACTAGGGCCAACCCCGACTGGCCTGTGACACTCCTGTAATATCTCCCCCCCCCCCCCCCCCGCCCCCTCTATGTGTCTTTTTGGAAAGAGCGTCTGGACTCCATCATCGGAGAAACATATAAATCTGTGGAAGAACGTCAAATTTGAGAGATAAAAGGGTGCGAGCTACAGTTAACGTTAAGAACCACTGTCCTTGATAATTCTTGCAAAGGCCATTTTGTAGCAGTTCGTTGGTGGTAATCTTGACTAGTATAACAGTCTTGAGTCACTCAGACTCTTAGCTGCAGAACGCACCGTCCCTACTCACTTAGCCAGTTAAGTAATAAATAAAAATATCGTTATAATATTTGTTATTTATTTTATATAACAATAAAATCTTTACCGCACACTTGTCAAAGTTACTTCAACATGCTATTTTACAATGAAATTCTTGTTAATTCATTTAATTAGTATAACACTCTTGCAATCGTTTATCCTTCTGTGTAGTTAGTTAGTTCCTATCACCACAGTGTCTCCGCTCAGGGCACATTGTTATGTTACATATTGGTTATCGTAAGGCCCTACAAGTCTTACCCTGAGTATTGTGTTACAGGGAAGATATACGGCTCGGGGAATTCAGCCTGACCCGATCAAACGACGACGCAGCTCCGCAAGACTTCAGGATCGCCAGCCGCATCGACGGTGGATACAACCGAAGGACCAAGGAAAATGACATCATGCTGCTCATTATGGACCGCGACGTCCAGTTTATTGGTGAGTGTAATTCGTAGTTGTTATTATGCTCACCAGCAGTGGCTTGAGAATATATAAAGTTATTCAATCTACAAAAGTTCGTGCCATTAATGGGCTGAAAAAGTAGAATTCATAGAAGGGAATTAGAAGATATGGATTTGTTTACGTTGGTACTTGTTTCGATATTTGAAACATCACAGTATGTTGAAAATGGACGCATCCTCATCCCTCGATCGTCGTCTCATCTCAATCAACAACAACAGTATGTTGAAAGAATTACTGATCACATGCCTCGGTAATGGGGATTTTTAGCATCACGTAGCTAGTTTTTGGACACACGCTGTACTACCCTTCATATAGTCTAGGGTAGTTGCACAAACTTGAACTTGAACTTGAACAAATGCAGATGTACCTAAATGTGTTAATAACAAAAATGTTGAAATAAAATCTAGTACAGTATTAAGAGCACGTGAAGCAAACAAGTTTTTTGTTTGTTGTTGGGCTTAGGCTAGAAGCTATCAACGGCAGGAGGGCTATTTTTAAGGCCATCACAATAGATTATTGACCAGAATTTTAACATTCAGATGTGCTTTTTTGTGTCTATGGTGTAGTTGTGTTTGGAAGATTCCTCAATGTTTACATAACATTAACAATTGACTAAAGCTTTGTTTGTACATAATATATCAAGTAGGCGACTCCAGCTGTAATAAGTCAGACCTCTTGTGGTCCCTCGTAACCGCCTCCATCTCCCTCCAGATAAGATCGCCCCAGCGTGTCTTCCCTTCAACGAGCGCAACAACAATTTCGAAGGAAGCCGCCTTACTATCGTAGGCTGGGGGAGGACAACTTTTGGTGAGTTTTCATGCCCTTTATTTCTTTTTGAAGGTCTCGGTCACTGTGCTGGGACACTACTGTCCCAACACACTAGTGTCCCGGCACACTAAAAAATACACTAATATATATCACTAATACACACTAAAATACACACTATATATGTACTTTGACTAGTGTCCAAGTACACTAGTGTGCCGCGAATGGTCCAGACGTGTGCCGCAGGAGTTTGAGGGAAGATAAAAAATAACAGGAATAAATGACAGCAATCTTTTAAAACCCGTGATCAACTTTACTTACAAAATAACACTATGATTACAATTTTGGCTATTAGACATTTAACACAATCTTAAACCCGTTTATTTATACATATAAAGTCTCTCTTTAAAAAATGATGGTGTCTTAACAACTTCAGCACCTTGCTCAGTGTGTCACAGTTTAAAAAAAGAAGATTGAGACCTGTGCTGTAGAGGGTTATTACGACTGTGACACGAGCTTACTGAAAGACCAGCAGATATACATCAGTCCTCATCATAGTTCAGGGCTAAAACAAGCTATCAATGTATATATATATACAAGCAAATAGGGTGCAGCTAGGTGTATATACCCTGCTGATCATTAAAGACATACAATCCCACCACATCTCAAATAAGAAAGTAGATAGAAGTTTGTGTCTGTACTCACAACCTTTCCTCACTTCCAATAACAAAATATTTTAATGGGGTTTCATCACTTTTTTGCTTTTGTTTTAAATTTTGTACACGTATCTCCTTGTGCAGAGAGCAGAACACTCTCTGATGTGCCCATGGAGGCAAAGGTGCCGGTGGTGGACACCCGCACCTGCAGCACCTCCTACCAGGCAGTTCAGGGAGACAAGCCTGTGGTGGACCAGAGGCACCTGTGCGCCGGCTCCGGCACCCAGGACTCGTGTAGTGTAAGTACCTCAAGTCTAAGTCTCTTTTGGAATGCATATTAGGTGACAGAAAGGAAATTTGATCAGTTGATGCATTTCCTATGAGTTTTGTCCGTATGTGCAGTTGAATACTATCGTGCACAGTGTCAAATATACAAAAATATTTCCTCTGTTGCCCTCCACCGAACAGTATCATTTAAGCATCTTTGTGGCCACCAAACCCTCAGTATTTGACCTCCTTCATCAGCGGTTCTTACTGACCATTCATATCTCTCCTCAGGGTGACAGCGGAGGACCTCTCAACTACAGGGGTGCCAATGGCAAGTACTACGTAGTGGGCATCGTGTCCTTCGGTGTCGGGTGTGCTCGACCAGAGTTCCCCGGAGTCTACACACGCGTCTCCTCCTTCCTCGACTGGATCGTTAGAAATGCCCAATAGTACACGGAACGTTGTTATTGTAGATGCCACAACTACAATCTCGTTGTTCTTGTGGTTAATGTACATTATGTAATTGATGCGTATTTATGTTTTCTCGTCCATCGCTTAATTAGGTATAATTCTAAAAGAGAGAAAATTATATTTTAGTATAGGGAGGTAGGTAAGGAAGAAAGGGGAAATACTAAGTAAACAATGGAACACATAAGTGCATATTTAATGGGTGCGAATTTACTCGCTTCTCAAAGCGAATAAATCAAAGAAATCAAAGACAAAAGAGAGATGTAGATAAAATAAACACAATTAAAATGTAGACTCGACAAAAAATTTTTAAAAGACAGAACTCGTATCGTCAGGTAATAATACTGGTTTTGCAGTATGTGGTGTCACTAGAAGATTGCCATAAAACCAAAACTAGTCTTTTATTATTACTTTACTAATATCGTTAAATGAATTTTTGTTAATAATCCTGTTTAAGCTATATATGCACTACAGAGAAGAAGCAGGGCATAGAAGCCTATCACACTAGCAGAGAATAAGACCAAACATCACTGGGTTTTCAAGACAAGAGGTAAAGGATGGGAACGCAGATCCCAGTAATTTATGGTGCATAGTTATCAATAATGAATCTGTCTTAAAGTTAATATAGTAAATGTGAACCATATATATATATATATTTGGAAATTGTATGGTGCATTATATTCTACCATGAAATAAGAATGCATCTCCAATTAGTTTCAGAGCTTGCAAATCTCATTAGTTATCCCTTATTTAACTTGAAAGATAAATAGTTATAACTATTTATCTTTCATGTTTTCTGTTACTTGTGGGCATTATCTCTACAAATCTTAATGCATTTGTGTAAATCTTGGTGTGTATATATCTGTTCCTTTCATCACAGATGGGAGTGCAGTGAGCTCAAGGGATGTATCATTAAATAAATAAAAAACTCTACAAGTTATATCATTTGAATCCCTTGCAAATGAGACCCCGGATCCCTAGCCAGTGCTAAGGACTACGTGCGCCACATATAATTCGCATGGCATTTTGTATTACCTCAAGGCTCTGAAGTTTAGCAGTCGCTGCGCATGCATATGACTGGCAACAATAATCAAGTTGACTTCAAATGTCGGTTGTATTAAAATGGTGCAGTGTTTAATGGTACCCAGGTGGTGCCAGTGAGGGCTTTAAGGTTGGTCGGTTATTGTCTGAATAATACAATGTTAAGTCATCCACGTATGCCGAGAGGTGAACCGGGAGGGTACGTGTTTGGTATACAGTATCAGATAAGAATGCAGCACAAAGAGTAAGAGTTCGACTTAGAAACTATGCCTTAACTTGTCAAAATCAGCTTTTTAGAAATCTAGCACCTTAGCAGAATTTTATCTTGCATATCTATTAATTTTACGTTAAATCTAATTTCCGTGTGATCACTGTTCCTTACTTAGCTCACTCCTCATTTTGATGTCATTTATTTATATATCCCTGTTAGTCAAATATTATTTTAGTGTTTTCCTATGTTGGCTCCTTAATATGTTGTTTAAGGAAGAAATCGTCCCCAACACAAACACTGTTTGGGATAGATGCTTTAGATGTTGACCAAACCACACACTAGAAAGTGAAGGGACGACGACGTTTCGGTCCGTCCTGGACCATTCTCAAGTCGATTCGGTCCAGGACGGACCGAAACGTCATCGTTCCTTCACTTTTTAGTGTGTGGTTTGGTCAACATATTTCAGCCACGTTATTGTGACTCCTCGTCTGCATATAATGCTTTAGATATTTCATCCCATAGATGCTATGCTTCCATTTGTCGAAGTTTAACGCTTATTATTAGATTATTATTATTTATTTTAAATTAATTCCAACCAAATATAGTTTCTGTATGTGGCTCACTTTTGATCCCCTCTTTACTTTTACACTTTAAAATTCCCCTAACATATATTACTACTCCCCTGTCTTGCATATCTATTAATTTTACTTTAAATCTAATTTCCGTGTGATCACTGTTCCCTACTTAGCTCACTCCTCATTTTGATGTCATTTATTTATGTCTCCCTGTTAGTCAAATATTATTGTATTGGTTTCCTATGTTGGAAATTAACACTGCATTAATATCAGTGTTTATGTGAAGGCAGGAGTAGTTTAATCGTCTATTTTCTTGTTAAGAGTCAAGCTATTTGTGTAGTTCACCTAGAAGAATATTATGTTGAGGTCAGCATCCATCCTGTTCCTTTCACCCCCTAACTTTTTCTATCCCTCCCTTACCCAAATCCATTTCCATACCTCTGTCATCTAACACGTTTAACTTAAACAAACCCCTCCAACCATAGATTTCAAAGAATTGATAAAGTCGTATAAACCAAATAGGGAAGAACTTTAATTAAAGGTGGATCGTGTCACTTAATCTCACTTTCACTATTATAACTATGTAACTGGGAAAAAAACCCAGATAGGCCGGATAACAAGAACCCTTCAAGCAGATGTCAAACTAATGATGGTACTTTTTAATACTCTATGATGGAATATTGTTGCACACTAACAAACATATTCAAAACTGAAGTTGCTGATGCAGAGACCCTTTACTTGTCCGAATTCATTCAATAAAATCCTAAATTATTGGGACTACTGAAAATCTCTCAAACTATATTCCCTGGATCGAGCGCCAGCGAGATTTACATTTAGAAAATATTAGACTGACTAACTCCAAATCTACACACGGAAGTAATTAATTAGGGGACTCTAATGTATCGTTTAATACTATTCAATTTTTAAGCAAAGGTGCAATTGATATGCTGAAAGACAAGTCTATAAAAATTAAGGACCCAAATGTTTTCAACATCCTCCCTTAATTAAAGATAAGCTGTGTGGGGGAGGGGGGGGGCATAAATATAGCCGATCTCTACTCTCGGTATTCATGAGGAAACATAAGAACAAAAGTAACTGCAGATGGCCCACTAGCCCATACGAGTCGGCTCCTATTTCTAATCACCCAATCCCACTCACATGCATGTCCACTTTTGGGGTGTGGAGTTTTCAGTTGCATATATGCTTGGGGACCATTTCAGGCTTGTTCACATGTGTTGCTCACGTGGCCCCACAAAGTGAGGTGATTTGATAAATAACTGCCCAAGATTACCATCAAAGTGCCGTCAGGATGATGGGTAAATAGTCTCGGCTACCATCATCTTTTGCATGGTCACTGATGGTCGAGTGGTTAAGGTCTCCTGTACACCAGTTGCATAGTGCTCCGGCTCTATGGGTTCTAGTCACTTCTGGGGTGTGGAGTCTTGAGTTGCATATATGCCTGGGGACCATTCAGGCTTGTTTACATATATACATATATATATATATATATATATATATATATATATATATATATATATATATATATATATATATGCGAACAAGCCTGAATGGTCCCCAGGACTATATGCGAATGAAAACTCACACCCCAGAAGTGACTCGAACCCATACGTTGCTTCTGGGAGTATGGGTTCGAGTCACTTCTGGGGTGTGAGTTTTCATTCATATATATATATATATATATATATATATATATATATATATATATATATATATATATATATATATATATATATATATATATATACAAGAGTTCTTACATTCTTGTACAGCCACTAACACGCATAGTGCTTCGGGCAAGTCCTTAATCCTAATTTTCACACACACACACACACACACACACACACACACACACACACACACACACACACACACACACACACACACACACACACACACACACACACACACAGGAAGAAGCCCGTAGCAGCTGTCTAACTCCCAGGTACCTATTTACTGCTAGGTTAACAGGTGCATCAGGGTGATAGAAACTCTGCCAATTTGTTTCCGCCTCCGCCGGGGATCAAACCCGGACCCTTAAGACTACGTACCCCGAACGCTGTCCACTAGGGGGTTGTATCTAGGTTGTTACCACGTCTTCAAAAGGTGAGATGCAACACGGACAAGTAGCAATGATTGATTAAGATGTTTTTACAGATGTTTTTTCACCCATAGTTATAAATCGTCGGTACCACTTACCCGCCGAAGCCGTAAATGCCAAAAAACTGGCGATTTTCAAAATCCAGCTCGATAAAATTATCAGGACAAATGGGGGTGGGGATCTTTAGCAAGCCGTCATCTTGCAGCCCTCGTGGAGACCACTAGAGAGATGGTGGTCCTCAGGTAAATTCAGGCAAAACTCATGAGAGCGACTACGAGCAGAGGTGTCTAACAGCCTGGTTAACCAGACCACCAACCAGGAGGCCTAGTCAGAGACCCATTCACGAAGACGTTGATCCTCGGAAACACATCAAGGTAGTGACGTGTGGGAAAGGAATGAGTGAAGAACCGTATGTCGCCTTGAGTGACTCAACCCACATCCGTGGGTGGGGGACTAAGGGGGAACTTTCATCTCATCTCTTTTTTACCATTTTATCTACACCTAAATATTTCAAAGACATTCATATCACGCAATTAATAATTTTTAACTTTGTATTGTTTTGAAAACAACTTCACATATTTGTTATATTACCTGTTTTGTTAATTGTTATGGTGTGTTGATATTTACATTAGAGGTCCCTGTCATCGACATGTCAAGAAAGATGTCAACATGCCCGTGTTCAGAGGAGACCCTTGTGGCATAACTTGCTTAATTCTTACCTATGCCGCAATATTTTACGCAGATTATGTTGTCATCAACTGGATTGTGTTGCAGACTATGTCTAACAGGTAGGTTAACATCACTGGGTCTCGTTGTGCGGCCAAAACCATTGGGACAAGCCCATACTTGTAGGTAAAAAGCTGGCCTTCATCTGCGAGAAGGGAAAATCTAAGTTATGTATGTATTCGTCATCATAATAAGGAGGTTTATATTTTATAAATTCATTTTTAATGTTATATATATACATATATATTAATTTTGAGGTATTTTATCCATCGTAAAATATGCAGTTACTTTTTATTAGATTGATATTTTCAGAAATTCTCCAGCCTATAATTAGTAGTATGAGGAAAGGCTCTCTATGCATCCTAGAGAGGCAAACATTCTTGAAAAAGTGCAGCAATTTCTCAGGAGTAACTGAAATATTGCCAGAATAATTAACTAAGGGATTGCCAGTTAAATTTTGATGCTGTACCTCTGCTCTGCCTCGGGATTATCAGAAAATGTGTTGCATTTGCTGCCTCTTGGACTTCATTGTGCCATAAGGCACTTTATTCAACTACCAGAGTGATTGCATTGCCTGGCACATACGTCACCATGGGGTCAATGAGTGCTAATGAATTGTCTTGTGTTTTCCTGGCTTGCTCTTCGGGCATCGAGTGGGGTCGTGAATTGGCTTGGCCAAGAGGTGCTGAGGATCAGCTGGCCTTGGCGTTTCCAGTGTTCCCTCTAGATATGGAGGGGTACCTGGCTTTTGCTCCATTCCAAGGTAGCTATCCTATGTGCAGAATGGGTGGCCAGTTCCTGCCCTGCTATGGGTATTCGGGTGTCACCAAGTGTCGCTTAGTGTGCTGCTCTGCTAGGCAATTTTTGTTTTTTCCATTTGGCTTTGCTTTCATTTGGAGATACACTCCTATTTTGTATCATACTAGGAGCTGGACCAATTGGGTGCATACAGCTAATTTCACAGGTCCCCTGATATCAACTAACAACAACAAAAACAATTAACTAAATAGCACAGCACCAATGGGACGGTATCATATTAACTTTACCCTAAGGCCTGGATCCAACATATCTACAATACATAGAATAGGTAGGGTTCAATATTCAGGGGATTCTGAATACTGAATCCTCCCCCATGAGCCTGCATCCTCAATCAGTAAATAATCATTATTCTAGTAATATTTGAATTACATTAAAGCCTTATTATTATCAAATAATTGTCTATGACTCATCTTAAAGTGAGACTTTTCATTAAACAGGTGCT